GCGGGAAGGCAGTGAGCAGGCTTTTATGCCGTTCAAACAATCAAAAATACGGCAACCAACCAAAATGCTTCGTCAAACGAGACAGCCAATGAGCGTCTTTCTAATTCCGGTCAACCAATCAAAACAACTATGACATCATAGTACCCCGGAATACATACGACATCATCTTCCGAAAATAACTAAAACCTGTCAAACCGGTTATACCAACCATGACCGCCACAAGATAAAAATAGAACATGACATCATTGATAAACCCGTCAAACTAGATATACTTAATGAGATTCCACCGCAAGTTAATGAGATTCCTGCGCATTTTATTCATGAGATCAAGACAATAGCCTATGACGTCATCGGCGCTGGTTTTTCTAGATAATGAGCAGTTAATGAGAATCCTCCGCATTTTATTCATGAGATCAATACAATAGCCTATGACGTCAGCGACGTTAATGTATTCCCCCGCACGCTAATGAGATTCCCCCGCATTTTATTCATGAGATCAATACAATAGCCTATGGCGTCAGCGACGTTAATTTATTCCTCCCCACCTTAATGAGAATCCTCCCCAAAAAAACGGCCTAACCGGTCCCTCCTATACTACTTTCCCCTCTATCCCTTTTCCCCCGTTCTTTTCTGCTGCTAATGCGGAAATTCAAACCAGCCTCGAAAAATGTCAGTGGCATAAATAAGGCTACAATGTAGATTGTTAGTCACTAAGTAGTGTAAGTCAAGGATGCATAATTTAAAGAATACGGCTATTCAAAACTGAACTGTAACCACCAACCAACCTTTTTCCTTGATTTTGTTTTCTTTGATAAATGTTTTAGCTCTTGTTCAATCGCTTCCATTTTAAAAAGTGTCATTGAAAATAAAGCAAGATCTTCTATACTTGCGTCCATATTCAATATCATTGATAAGACAATGGCGAGTGAGTTATGCACTTTTATTTATCACATTGCAAAGAACATTTAATTTTACTTTTTTAATTATTTTTTTTCATTACCTGCGATAACAAGTTTCTGTATTGCTTGAATTTGCTCCTGAGTCAAAGCTCGGTTGTAGATCCGCATCTGAGCAATTCTACCTTTGAAGTACCTGTCATCACCAGTCTTCACACCCATTGTGATGTTATCCTGTGTGGCCAGTTCAAGGCCCACTCCAATGTTTAACGGCTGAACCACGGCTCCATTGACCCACAGTTTGGCTTCGCCAGAAGAACGGTTGTAAGATGCGCCAACAAACTTCCATCCACCGGCGAGGTTGGTATGCTCCAAACGTTCGGTATACGAATAATCTCGTTTACAGAAACGGACAAAAAGTTTCCCGCGTTGGGCAACCCATAAATGAACACCCCAGGTTGAACCGTTCTCGTAGTTGAAAAGCGGTCCGTCTTTGCCATCATAGTAAACCCAGCACAGCATAGTCATCGAATATCGCACGTCTAAAGGTCCTCCAATGCTGTTGGGAAACTCGATGTAGCTGTTGGAGCTTCCAGAAAATTTATAAGAGTAGTTAGGTCTTCCATCGGGCCCTGGAGCCAGAGTAACCCCATGCGGAATCCCTTTTACCGTTCGGTTGTCAATCTCCTTGGTACCGTAAACAGCATTGAGGGGGAAGAAGGCGACAGGATCTGGAACTTGCGTAAAGAATATTTATCATTATTTTTGAAGAAACTGAATTTTGATGCAATGGATCTATGAGGAGGATCGACAATGGGTTAATCAGTCCGCAAATGAAAAGAATAAGGTTTATAAACAGGGTATCCCCTTGCGACTCCTACGTGGTCTAATTGCTGGTTTTCAGTGTCACACCATTCAAAATAGATCAAAATAAAAATCAAAACCGTTCAATAGGTAAAGTCCAGAATCTGGGAAATGAAAGGAGGTACATATACAAAGACCCTCGCCAAGATTCAGGTCAGAGGAATATTTCGTATACGAGATATCCGAAGTAACGCTTTACCCAAATTTATGGAGATTTGTATGGAGACACCGCGCTTGTGCTCACCTAGATGAGCTCCAACATGGCGGACGGAAACCAACAGAAACATCTGTTACCGTATTTTGTTACTTGAAAAAAGTGAATTTATTCTTCGAGAAACTCATAAACATTAAAGTAATACTTTTTCTAATTCATGAACTGTTTAGATAGCAAAATTCCCTGAAATAAGTCATTTTTTAACCTACATGACAGCTTTCTTGAACACAATGTAAATGCCGCGTCACGCAAAAGCTTAGAAATTCAAGCGTACTGTATCACAAATCCAAGAACCCTTTGGAGCGAAAATTTGTATGAAATTTAGTTTTCAGCTGCTCTAGTGCATCGTGAAAGTAAAATTTCGGTAGGATCGATAGTTCTTTAGTTTGAATTTTAGTGACGTCATGTGTCAATTGAAAGTATTGTGTAAGGGACGCCAGGGGTACCTTTTCTCTCAAAAGAAATATATAGAAAGGTAAGGAGCTAAACCTCAAGGCGGAGCTTCACAAGATAAAACTTTGCTGAGGAATTCCTCCTCCCCCGGGGGGCACAGATCTTTTCTATCCCAGACTGCAGACATTCTTAAAAGAACCTCTTGTCCGCATATCCAAAAAAAAACTTTTCATTGTTCAAGTCTGTAACAGGTGACCATCTTGGTTTTAAGTGTAAGAAATGGAAAGAGTATCAAAGGGAGTACTACCAAAGGGAGCTGTAAGCCCCGCCTCTATAAAGGCGTGTCAATACGAATGACCGAGACCAGGTTTTATGAGCCCGCGAGACTGAGCTTCCCACCCAAACCCTTGTTTTTACTAAAACCACTGGACGCCACAACTTGGGGTCAATTTAGTAAACTCATAGCCATTGTTTTAGAGTCTGAGAACAAAAGCTACACTTGTAAATTACACGTGTAAAAGTTTTATTAAATTGACCCCAGCACTGGTTGAGGTCATTGTTATCTAAGGTCTTCCCAAATTTTTACCTTCACAAAGGCTCCCATTGCCTGTGTAGCCAGGCCTGCACGTGCAGTTGTAAGAGCCACCCTTGCATCAGGAGCCCGGCCAAAAAACCGGCCAGCCCAGGCTTTCCGGCTTTTTGGCCAGGCTTACCGGGAAAATGCGGCCTGGTAAAGCCTGGCAAGTATGGCCACAGCCAAGCTTTCTTGGCAACCTAGGCCACCAAAGCTTGGCCTTCCTGGCCTTGTTACTTCCAAGGCCGAGCTTTCTCGGCAACCCTGGTCAAAAAAGCCAGGCCTAATCCAGGCCTTAAAGATTCAAGCCAGGCTTGACCGGGCTTTTTGAATTTCCAGGTCAAAAATTTATAACATTAAGTGACTGCAACATTAAACCTCAGAATCTTTGGCCATTTGTTGTCCCATGAAGGACACTCTTTGCTTTACAACTGCTATTTTTTCACAAAGAATGACACATTGCCAGTTTGCACATATAACTAACAAAAATCTACAAAAGCAGTCATACATGAGCTTTACAGACCATCCATGCCTCTTGATTACAGACAATGACTGCAATTAAGTCAGTAACAGTGTCTGTAATCAAAGTGACCTGTGACCTTAACAAAACTCTGTAGGCTCAATTGAACTGTCTTTGAAGTTACAACCTTAAAAATTGCCTTGATGGTGTGTAAAATACGATGATATTATGGTTCTACAGACAATTATCTATGTAGCAACTTAAACATTATAACATCACACTTGAACATCAAGATTAATTTGTCTGATTATATGTATAATGTTCCAGTCCATGCAGACTAAACCTTTGCATGATTATTGTTAGATGTACAGGGTCTTTGTATTGATATAGCTATGTAAATGATTTCAGTGCATCTCATTCTATCATGGTAGAGTTGTACTTGGATTTCATGTCTAGGTTATGGCTTGGACTTGGCGTGTTCAAGCTGTCTTCAGGTCAATCAGTTTTCCGTACCTGTGATCTAATGTCCAACATGAGCAACGTCCACAACACGTTTTTCGTCGCAACTTTGATTTTTCCTTCCCAACTTAAGTTTACCTATTTATATTAACACTTCAAATGCAATGGAATACTCCAATCAATGCTGAAAATAACCGCCCTTTTCAGTACCCGAACGAAAAGGGGGGAATTTCATATATCCCATGATGCATCGCTTCATACTATATTATCAAACTTCCGAACGCACGTGATCCCATCAGTTCAACAGGGACGCGACAGTTGAGCAATGGTGGAAGTGACTTGTTTTGCCGATAAAACCTTCTGTACCTTTGCTGTGTCGATCTATTTACGATTTTCGTTTTACTATTCCAAATATATCTGTTTTGTGTTTTGGCAGCCGATTATTACTTAACTAGCTTTACGATCGCAAGGCAGTCCACGCAAATGTTCTTTGAAGCTAGCGAGGAAGGTCTTTGCTTCCGTACGTCCTGTTTTAACATCCGTTGATAAAGCTCTCCATGGATTAACAAGCGATTTCCACGTACTTGTCTTGAATGTCCTGAAATAAATATACATTCTAGGTGTGAGATTTCTCTTCGTTGCTTGTTTGTCGATGCAGTACATCAACCGTACGGTGACCGCACATGCTTTTACTTCAACAAGCTCAGCTTATGCAATCGAAAATACCGAGACCGTTAAAGTACAAAGTGACCTCTACCGGAGATAAAATTCAAAGGAGGGAAATAGCTCTAACAAAAACAATAATAACAACAAAGACATCTCCATATTTTTCGTAAGACAACACCAGCGAAGCATCATTGTCAAACATAAACAGAAATAAGCTTTATTAAGATTTGGCAAAATACGTATGCAAAAACACCCACTTCTTCATTACAATGGATCCTAAAAGAACTATCAAAATGTCTTTAACGGTTTCATACGCCGGTTGAGGTCCTAAGGCATACCATTGAATGACATTTGCAGGCCTGTATATATTTCAAGTTCGCCACGCGTGGTTGCGACCGGAAGCCACCACGAGAAACCAATTTTACCTAAATTAATGAAACAAAAAAGCTTCAATACTATTGACCATTGAATTTA